AGAATCAGAGAGAACTGTCACTTGACTCGACTTGCGCTGACCGCTTGTACGAGTCAGATAATGCCTCAGTCTACTGGGAGGCATGATTGATAATTTGGTCAACAATGATTGCAGATGTTGAGCTTTGAATAAGATAAAGATTTATCAAATTCAAGATCTTTCTGAGGTGTAATGAAATAACCTATAGATAATGCATCGTTGTACCAAACGAGGGGATATAGATTTCGCATAAACCAATACTCAGTTCCAGAATGCTGGGGTCAAAAATTTCCAACAAGGCAGCAATGCAAACCATGACCAAATTTCGTGTTATTGCCATAATGATGGCAGTTTAAATTGCTGCCGCTGTAATGCTCCAGGAGTATCCTAACAGATTAAAAAATATACGTAATGGCAGAGCCGAATACAATTATAGTATTAATTGCTAGTGAGCTCGACTCAAAAGATTGCTTGAATAATAGGCCAAGTATAAAGGTTGAACCATTGCTCAAAACTAGCCTAATCCATATAATATTGTGACTAGATAACCTAGAAGTCGAAAATGCGTTAAACTGTACTTACATGAAAGATGGTTACAGGTTTTTAGGATTCGACTGATTTCTTCGTCCAAATTCTCTAATTGAACCTCGACAGGTTTTTCGATTAGTTGAAAGCACACGGCACCAATGCACATAAAACAGATGTATGAAACAAGGATAAACATGAACTCAAGAGAGCGTTTTTTAAAACACAGTTTTGATTTAATAGAGACTTCGGACATTCGTAGAGGGCTTGACAAGAATTTGTTGGGCTTTCGAATCAAGCGGAGTCTGCGGCAATTGACACAGGAAACCGTAGTTTCGTCTGAACAGCGGTGCTTCGAGGAGAATGTTTGATCGAAATGAGCATCCATTTTCGTTATTTCATCGTCAGAATGACTATGGTAATTCCAATATGAGCGTGAGGGATCACCATTCCTAATGTCTTGCTTAAGAATATTCAGGTTACTTGGGGACAAAAGAACAGACTGATGAGAGGAATGGTATTGCTGCTTAGAATCTGCGCGCAATCTGTTGTTCGATGAACGTTCGAAACTCCAATTTGTTTCAGAATCACTTGATGAATTTACGAACTCATCATTTTCAGGATCGGAATCACCAAAAGACATAACCTCTTCTGACGATAACCGGTTTTGGTCATTGACATTACTATCATCTTCAATATTCTCGGGTGTTTCCCCACCGATATTGATAAACATTGCAAGACCATACGCACGATAACCCGGAGCAGAGGACGAAGATGAAAAAAAATCACGTCGTTCGACCTTGATGAGCAGTAAAACAAATGTTTATGATTTTAAGATTTTTTATTAAGCCTTGCATATCGTCATTTTATTCTTAAATTCGTGTTAGAAAAACCAGCTAACGCTTAGTATTCATGCATTCGAGATTAGCTATAGTCGTCTTAACAAGTCGGACTTTATGAGTATCACGTTCACTGTCATTGTAGCGAAACAAGTCTTCCCACTAGGATGAAGACTATGTGTTGGACAGAATCCATGTATTCTAAGATTTGAAAAGGTGATAGGGCCTTGGCTTGGCCCGAAGGCCAGTCAACGCATATCAGGGCCAGGCGAACGCCAAAGCAGCTGCCAAACATCAGCTGGTCACATGAACGAAGCATCGCAGCCACCTTCAATTACTTGTCGACTAAGGCAGCCTTCTGATGTACATTTCATTCTTCGAAATCCACTTATTTCAATTTTTTGCAGCATATCCATAAGTACATTTTTTTCCTTCATTATTTCACAGCTAGTTGCAATTCGTCTTTAGCTAAATAATTCTTCTTATTAAATGTGTCCTAACCATGGTAACAGTTCCTTAGTAATAGATTTAGTAATGCATTTGATGATTGTGTCTATTCGGTGCACCTAATTTGTTGTACCCTCCTGAGAATAGCCAAAATAAAGAGAAGGATCATGCTGGAGGTAATGTGATGTCCCAAAATCGCATCTCTTCTCACTAAAGCCGATAAGACCATCCAAGTGACAGCCATATAACTTAAACATTATCATTCCCACCGTCAGCGCACCCCTACTCAGAGGTGTTCGATCACTCTTGAGCACAATTTTTAACATTAGCATTGGTATAAGTATAGAAGCGCCTTTTTAATTTAATTCAGTTAATATCCTCCTCTAAAAGTGAATAATTAACTTTTCAGGATTTGTATGAAAAGGGTTTAACGTAAAACTAGACATTAACTGGACATGTGCTGTTACATCAGGGATTGGAGTTCGTCATTTAAAAATATACATAACTTGAAGTGGATGGTTGAAGTACATTCATTCAAACGAAACAAGATGTAAACTTATAGTAATCACATCAACTGCTCCTAGAGTATTTTATTTTTCTAAAAAAATCTTTTCAACTGCCGCTTCTGGCAAGATAAATTAAGTTTCCAAATGCAAAGGAACGAACTCTGCATTGATGTAAAAATTGGATCCGTGTGGGTGTGTGTATGCACACGTGTGCTTTGGAATTGTTAATAATAGCGGCATTGCTTTGAAGGCACTGATTTCGTTTAGAGAATCTCACGCAAACATCCGCACATACAAGCTCGCATTTTCCTTCCTGATAGTGATAGATAACAATAGTGCTACTTCGAGTGCCAGTGAGAGGCGCACTTTTCATGGCGCAAAAGGTTGAAAAAGGTAAAGAGTATTGTTGTTGCTCCTACTTTCTCTCAACTATTCTCCTCCTTTTTGTATTTGCAAATTGATGATGGATAAATACGCCTAAGGAAAAGGAAACAGAAACCGTTATTATTATTATTATTAATATTATTAGTGCGGCGTAGTGAATGCATTCTCCACAAGTCCAATTCCATTGGTGAGCTGAGAAGGGAAAGTATTTTCAAAAAACTGAGGGTTGACGTTAAACATTAATCTTAAAATTCGCTAGATGACTGAAATGAATGTGAAAATTTTGTTCCTCAGAATTAATTAAAAGGGACAGGCTTGCACTGTGGGAAGACTTATTGCAGGCTGGTGAAACACGAATAAAAAGTAGTCAGAACTTGGGAAAACGAAAACAGTAATGCCCATCATTGCGACAGATTCATAGGGCTAAATGATTTCTTCAAACGTAGGATGGTTCGGTTACCAAACACTTAAAACGGGATACATGCTTTTATGCATTTGTCCCCTGACCGGGAGTCTGTCCTTGGCGAAAAATTAGAGACAGAGGAGACGCAAATTAATCTATATGTGGCATTTGGACCTTCCTACACATCGTCATATCAAGTTTTGCGTCCTCATTCGACTTCTCTACTCATTGCAAGAAATTAATAACCGTGGTGGAAGAGAGGACTTTCTCGGATCTTGGATGGAGTGTTGAGCATGTTGGTCTAAATCCTTGCATTCAAAATTCGTTTGGCAGTTAGTTAGCGTTTCCACGGTAATGTTGAATCTGCTTTTCCTGGTAATTTAAGAAGTCATGCCTTTTTTTCCGTTTTAATTTAGAAGTTAAGATAAAACTGGGATAGCGGTGGTCTGATTATTTTCCCTAATTTTCTCTTCCTTAACGTCTGTAGAGAAGGCAGCGCCTCAGTAAATACAAGTGACAAGATAATTTAATCAAACCTAAATTTTAGATTCCCTTTAAAGCCAACAAATACTGCATTCTGCTCCCCATTTTGTTTGCAGTGATTGATGAAAGAAGGCTTTGGTGTGCCTTTTACCGTGTTGGGGAGCAGCTCTTTTATCCTCATGAGCTTACATGTTGGCAGTACTCAAATTTGGTCACATGATTTTCCGACCTAAAATGCTGGCTGTAGCTCCACTACTTCACTCACACTCTAAAGACTAAAATTTTTGACTGCTTTTGGTTGAGTGTTACTTTTTAAAGCCTAGACGTATTTATTGCTTCTCCTCAATAAATTTTGGTGGTTGTGAGCACTGGAAAAAGGCACGAGCTATGCCATGTAGTTTGTGATGCAGGTCCCTCGAAGGGGCTGGAATGGCAGTCAATGCCAACTCAACGCACTACCGGTTCCGTGATGGTCTCCATCACTTTTGTGTCTGTCGGTCGGTCGGTCGGTCGGCATGCGAGAGCGAAGCCTTTTGATCCGCATCACTTGCCACAATTTTTTGCAAAACCCCTCCAATCGGTGAGATGGTGATTGAGGTGAACGCAGTGGGGGGCAAAATGCAAATGCGCAAATTCCAAATATCCTTACACGTCTGCTTTGCGATGTGATCCGTGTGTCTAGAGAAAGTATTCGTTAAATACGGCAACTAAAGGCTAAGTAATATGAGGCTAGCCAACTGGTCCTCCCCTCACAACACGTAAAATGCTGCCTCCGTTTTTCGTTTGTTAGGAGGACAATACCTGTCCTGAGCATTTCTTTGCCTTCAAACCGCTACTAGCTAGACAAAAACTCTTTAAGTAAAACCTCCCCCTTTTTTTAGTTTAAGGTATTTATCGTTTATTTCTAACTCTGTCATAAATTTTTACTACCGATTAATTTTCCCTTGTGTATAACCTCAAAGGTAATAGATGCATTGGATGAACAATGTATTTTATCCATGCGTTTACATTTTCCCAATCTGTGCCCATAATCCTTCTATTTGTCGCTGTAGCTCCGTGTTTTGGTCTTGCAGTTACTAAAGACCCAGCGACTCTACTTCGAGTTGTGTCAGCATGTCCACTTCGCCCTTCGCTACGTTGGCAGTGCATATGCCGCCCTATAATTGTGTTTGCCGTTTTACCTTCTGGCAAAAGTAAGTCTTCGTGTGTAGCTTTGCTTGAGCATGTTTAGATTAGTCACTTCAAATTCCTAAAGTTGGCAAAATCTTGCAAAGGACGCAACTGTCACAATTACATTGGAAAGCAGTTCCATACTTTTGCACTTATTAACATTTTGAATTTACAAAAGTAGCTGAAGTACAGGAGTAAATGCATGCTCTCGGTCATAAATAAGAGAGACGATATGAATATTTTGCTAGCACAAAATCAAGCAATTCAACTTGTTGGATCTGAGGACACGGGCTTGGAATCACGCTTCTCGTCTCGATTGCCTCGCTGAGTGCTTCCGTGTCTCAGGAAACGAAAACAGGAGAGAATGCCCTTGGAATTTGAGTTGTCACCAACCAGAGTCATATTTTGTCTAGTTTCCATGCGTAACAACTCCTGGAACACCTCCTTCACGTTGACATTGTTCTTTGCTGACGTTTCCATGAATCCACAATTCCACTTCTGAGCCATGGCCTCGCCTTGTACTGTGGATACTTCACGACCGGTGTCACTTTCGTCGGACTTATTACCAACTAGCATTATGGGAATGGATGGCATTGCAGTAGGGCCTTTAATTCGAACCAACTCCTCGTAAATCGGAGTTAACTCGTCCAGGGAGACACGACTAGTAATTGAGTAAATAAGCATGAAGGCGTGACCCCTAGAGATGCTTAGACGTTGCATGGCGGGAAATTGGTGACTTCCTGTTGTGTCAGTTATCTGTAGGGTACAGACTTGCTTGTTACAGCTTATTACCTAAAATTGGAATAGTGAGAAAATTATGCTATTTAACAAAAACAAGTAATTATTAAGCCCTGTTAATTGCCGTAACTACGCAGTCGCCTCCATCGCAGTCACTACGCCAAAATATCTGCTCACATCAGTGGCGTTATCAGCCAGCCCTTGGTAATATATATTTTAACTCTGCCCATTACATCGAATTTTAGGTTATATCTGCAAAGATGAAGCAATTAACTTTGATGTAAGGCCTACCGTACCTATTGCTTCAAATATAGCAAAAAAGAGGCAAAATTACCCCAAAAGAAGTACCGTCTCACGGACTTCATTTCCTTATGAGAGAATAAAAGACATATAATAGATTATGTAATCTATGCCGCTACAAATTATCTTTAGCTGAGAATTTAATGAATCCAAAGTTAAGTACGCCCAGATTTTATATAACAGAAGGATTTATTAATAGATCCTTTGACAAATCCATTTTCAGTTTACTAGCAACGAGAATTTTGTTTACTTAAGCAACTATATTAGGAGCTTAGTATCGTAATGTGTACACCCCAAAAAAAAAATACCAATGCGCATATTGCAAAACAGCATGTGAATGATGTTGTACCAAGAGGGCGTTACGTCAAAGAAAAAGTTACTCTAACCTTGAAGGCGACATAACGGAAGCGATAATCCCTTATAAAAATAGGAACATAGATGAAGTTAATTTTCCGCTTCGTTTAAAACTTTTCAATGTCTACCCATTCATCTATGCCAATTAGATTCAAATTAATTAATTCTACGCATAACAGATTCTCGCATGCACCATCATCATTAAAGGCTGCGACTAAATTCCAAGTGTGGAGTACAGTCTGGCGGTAAAACTACAGACCTGAGCCTCTGTACACTTTGTACTATTAATGTATAGGAAACCCGAGTAAACAACGCAATGTCTCGGTGGACAGATCAGCGAGTGA